TTTTCTTCAGTAACGAATTAACCTTAGCTTACTGTAACTTTTTTTACTTTATAAACTTAATTTTTAAAACTTTTAGACTCTTTTGTAATAGCATTTAGCGTAAAACATAAACACATTATACAGCTGTACAAAAATATTTTCTTTCATATATCCTTATTCCATAAGCTTCTTTCTATTCTTAATTTTTTTTTAACTTTTTAAAGTTAAAATTTTTTTTCTCTTTTTCTTTAGCTTTTTAAACTTTTTTGTTAAAAACAAAGACACAAACACACACATTAGCATAGGCCTACATAGAGTCAGGATCATCAATATCACTGTCGTCTACCTCTACATCTTGGTCCACTGGAAGGTCTTTAGGGGTAATGACATGCGTGGAGCTGTCATCTTCTATAGTAACAGTGCCTTCTCCTGGAATGCCTCCTAAGAACCTGCCTAAGGCTGTTTTATATGTAACTATTTTTTTTTTAAGAGTAGGAGAAGTATACTAATGATAAAAAGTATAGTAAATACGTAACTGGTAATATAATTTATTATTCTCAAACATTATTTACTGTACATAATTATAGTGCTGTACTTTGATGTGACGAGCAGAAGGTTTGTCAGCATCACCACAAACACGAGTAATGCATTTCAGTATGATGTTCCACAGCTCCACAGTCACTAGGTGACAGGAATATTTCAACTCCATTATAATCTCATGGGACCACCACTGTATATGAGATCTGTTGTTGCCTGAAACTTTGTTATGCAGTGCAGGACTTTATTTTAAACTGAGATAAAGGCAGGGTAGAATGGGGAAATTAATACTTGAGTCAGGAGACACGTGAGCAGATTTTTCTTGTGGTTCTGCTGCTGAGGAGCTTTGTAACTGGGCAGGAAACATAATATTTTTGGTTTCCTAATTTGTAACTTGAGGAGGTTAAAACAAATGCTCTAAACATTGACTATACTTATTGTCAAGAGAATGTTTCCAAATGAGCAGTAAAACACATACATACCCCTCTTCAGATAATATTCTCTGAACTGTACATTCTCTAAACTATAAATCTTTTCTAAAAATTATTTATACTATTACAGAGCCTTAAAATAATTTAATGTTCTTGTTGAAGTCATAGTATCTTTGTTTTAGGGTGTCACATATAAACAAGCATCGGATTATGGAATCAATCATGCACAGCTCCCACTTGGAAATTTTGTGAAGATGAATAGTCGAAAAGTTTTGGCAGTTAATCATGGTAAGCTGTAAGGGATAAACTGAAAATATAGCTGAGCGAACATTGTGAGAAAGAATATTACATTTAGTATTTGAACAGGTAGAAAGTATTACGCCTTGCTGGAGACAAAATTATAAAAAGTTATCATTTATAATTTGTTTAACAGAAATAAGACATATTAGAAAAATTTGAAAATGTATGCAAGTATTCAAAAATTAGCTATATCTTACTACACAGAGATATTTGGTGTTAACTTTTTGGTGTTGACTTCCAGTTCTTTTCCTATGCAGATATATTATTATTTATTACATAATTGGATTTTTACTGTATTACATACAATGTTGTAAATCTGGGATATTTTCTCTCCTTTATCACTTTATTTTTTCATGTCATTGAATCATTGTTAATTGTGGCCAGGCACGGTGGCTCAGGGCTGTAATCCTAGCACTTTTGGAGACCCAGGCAGGCTGATTTCTTAAGCCTAGGAGTTTGAAAACAGCCTGGACTACATGGTGAAACTTCATCTTTACAAAAAATACAATAATTAGCTGAGCATGATGGTGGGTGCTTATAGTCCCAGCTATTCAGGAGGCTTAGATGGGAGGATCACCTGAGCTCAGGAGGTCGAGGCTGCAGTGAGCTATGATTGTGCCGCTGCACTACAGCTTGGGCAACAGAGTGAGACCCTGTCTCAAATAAATAAATAAATAAATAAATAAAGTAAGTAAGTAAGTTATTTATTTATTTAAAAAATGGTAGTCCATCTTTTAATATACAAAAATTTAAACATTCTCCCGTGGTTGAATTGTGTTTTTTTTCTTTTTACTGTTGCAAATAACATTAAAATAGACATTCGTGTACCTGTCTTCGCCTAGACTTTGCTTTAAAAAAATTCTTTAAGTCAATACACGACTACTTATTAAACGATTTTTATACACTAAATACTTCCTATATAGCAGGTTCTAGGGAGTTATATAAATGAAATTATTGATTCAACAAAGGAATTGCCTCTAAAACCTTTGATATATAGTGGAAATTACATTTTCCACAAAGTAATTCAAGTTAGCCCTTTAGCAGTATGCTGAAGTAAGAGTACCCCAGAGACAATATTGGGACTCTTTACTACAGCCAATGTATATAAAAAGAAAGAAAAGAGAAAAAAAAGCAGGCAAGGAGCTCCTAGTGTCAATGGCTCTTTATAGGAAACATGAAGAAAGTTAAATAAATGCTAACCAGGTTGTTAACTTGTAAAGGATAAAGATGTGAAGGGGTCAAAAAACAGTAGGAGAGAAACTGAAAAGGTCTTTATTGATTATAATTGACATGAGATACTGGTAAATTTCTGAGTGCTTAAGAACTGAACTGAGAAAAAGCTAGATAGGTAACTGGGCTGGAGGACCTTGGGGCAAATTGGCCTTGACAGACAATAGAAAGAAGAGATAAGAACAAAGTACCGTAGTTGTTAGGACAAAATAAGAGTCTTAATACAAAGGCAATATATTTTAAAAGACAGCATGCAGCATTGTGATGAGCTTGGCTAAGAAATGTATGGAGTTTGTCTTTATTGCAGTGTTTGAGATTATTCTGGAATACCTGGAAACAAGAGACTGGCAAGAAGCATTTTTTACTGTCTTGCCCCAGCGGAAAGGAGCTGTTCCCACAGACAAAGCCTGTGAAAGTTCTCATGACAAGCAGTCTGTCAGGGTGGAGGAAGGTGGATCGGACAGTGATTCCAGTGAGGAGGAATATAGCAGAAATGAACCAGATTCACCACATGAAGAAAAGCAGGATAAGGAAAATCACACTGAATCTACAGCCAACTCTCTGCCACACTAATATTACCTGGTTTCCTTTTAGTTTAAGGAAAAATTAGGAGAAGGTGAAGTACTATATAGAATATTGAAATTGGAAGAAAATTTTATTTTCTCTTATTTCTGTTGTGAATTTTAAAACTTTTTTTTTTTTTTGGAGCTAAATGATAATAAAAAAGCCCATTAAACTTTGTAAGAAAATATTTTTTGATTTTGCATAAGAAGATTTAAATGTGTATGTGGGTTTTTGTTTTTGTTTTTGTTTTTAAAGCCTCAAATAGTAGTTTCTAGATAATTTTACTTTATTAGTATATTTTCATTTTCTTTCATTTTATATTCTTTAGAATGTGCCTTCTGACTTTTCAGTTTTATTATTTTATAGTCCTTCAACATCTTTATGATCTATTGTCTACATCTGTGAGGACACATATTCATAAATATACTGTCAATCTATCAGAATGTTGTGTATGGTAGATTCCCCTCTATTTGCAGCTTTTATGTTTAACTTAGTTATTTGAAAGAAATGTAGTAATTTTAGGAAGAAGTAGCAGCGTAATAGACATTAATAATTCATTCCTTTTGGACTGTGGAGTGCATATCTGTTCCTTCTTGTGATGCCTTTTTGTGGTTCTAAAGTAATTACTGAAGAATTGAGAATCTCTTTAATTCATTTGTTTAGTTCTTACAATGGTGATAAGTTACTTCAATTATAAAATTGAATTTTGCAGACTAAATTATTTTATAATGCTGTTGCTATTAAAAGATCAATTTTGCCTTTACCTGCATTTAAAATGAAACAGTTCTTAGCAGCTGTGTTTTTCTTTCATATTTTTTTTAAAAAATATTTGTTGGCTTTTAAGATGAATAAAGTTTATATGTACATCTGCCTCTTCTCATATAAGAATATTCATACTAATGTATGCTTCTATAAATGACATATACATGTGAAAATATGCATGTAAATATATTTATATCTGTCCTGATCATGTATGGTTCTCAGTTATTAATTGGTAATATGATTGATTTGCCATTTGCCATATATCTGTATTACTTGTGAATGGTTGTGTTGAACACACTAAGAGCAATTTGAATTTTATTAAGTACAAAAATCCTTAGCTAAACATTTGTATGGGAATGCTGACAAGAAAGAATAGTGTAAAAGGGAGCTGTTTTAGTTTCCTAATGTGTAAGGTAAAGTGATTGGTCTCTGTCACAGCTAAAGGATTTCAGTAGCCTTCATTGAGTTTGGGTAAAACTAGTTCCTATTCTTTTGTCTTCTTTTTAATATATAAAAGTTATATTTATATTTATATATATTTTAAAAGTGCTTAACTTACACTATATATGTTACATACCAACATATATACACACAATAGAAGATTTATTGGATTTAGTATTGATATTTGCTGTCTATTTTTGTTACTTTGTTCTTAGTAATCCATTATAGTTACCTACTTTAAGGTAAGGTTTGTAGGCAATATATGTAAGTAAAGACAAGCCCTACAATTCTAAAATAACAAAGCTTATGTCTTAAGTTATATTTTTCAAAGTTTCATGTTTTTCTGAGTAAATGTGCTTTATCATCATGAAATATTATGCCTTTTACTTAAATTATTTTATGTAGAATAGGGCACTGTTTATTATGAAAGGTGGGAAAAAATCATTCCAAATAAAAGATTAATTTTTGTTAATTATAAAAAGCCCTGTATTCGTTTCCTAGATGTGCTGTAACAAATTACCACAAACTGGGTGGCTTTAAACAACAGAAATTTATTCTCTTAACAGTTCCAGAGACTAAACGTCCAGAATAAAGATGTCCCAGGGTCATGGTTCCTCCGTAGGCCCTAGGAAAGAATACTTCCTAGCCTCTTCCTGGCTTTTGGTGGTTGCCAGCAATCCTTGCTGTTCCTTAGCCTATAGTGGCTTGACTCCAATCTCAGTTTTGTTGTCAAGTGGTCTTCTACTCTGTCTTCTATGTTTACATCAGTGTCCAAATTTCTCTCTTTTTATAAGGAGACCAGCATTGGATTAGAGTTCACCATGATCCAATATGACCTCATCTTGACTACATCTGCAAAGACTCTGTCTCCAAATAAGGTCACATTTACAGGTACCATGTATTAGGATTTGACATATATTTTGGGGTACACAATTCTACCCACTACAGGCCCATATCTAGGCTATTGGTGGCAAGAAGGCAAATATTACTACCTAGTTTCTGAGATATTTTAAAATTTGGTTTTAAAAAAATTAAACTTTTTTCTCATTTTAATGTATCCTTTTCTCTCAGCATTGTTTTGGTGTATTTAGGTTCTTTTTTTGTTAAAACTTCAGTAGATATTGAAGTTACTTGTATTGGAACAAAGTTAGGGAAGTAAACTACTTAAATAAATGTATCAGAAAATATATGTCTGCTGAAATATAGAATTTCCTCACATTTAACTTCTTTAATAACTTACAGTCATCATAAAGCAAGCTCATTCTTAAGAGAAGAACCATTCCTCATTCTTATTCTCCAGAGACTGGTGCTGTTGACACTATAGCATTTGAAAATGCTCAGAATGGAAAAACCAAAAATGAGAAAAGAAAGCAGTTCTAGTGAATAAATGTCTTTTGGGAGATGAATGAACAATGATGAAATCCACCATTGACTGGTAGTTATAAAGCAAAGTGACATACAATTTCACTTTATACACAGGAAAGGTCACAGAAATTATGTAGATAAAAGGCAAGAATTGTCTATAGAGCCCTGAGACAGTACACAGACAGCAGGTGTAAAATGAGATTTAAAAAAAGAAAGAAAGAAAATGGCAGGGATTCAAATTAAGGGCAGCAAAGGTCATTAAACTTTGATTCCAGTTAGCATACAGGTATTTATCTCTAGTTTCCTATCTCACTGTCAGACACATACAGTGATAGTAATGTGAAGAAGAGAAGCAGTGACAAAATCAAAAGGTGGTGCATTGACAGAATCAATGGAAACAGTAGGAAATTGGACTAAGCGTAAACCTTGCACTGCCACTGTTAATTGAGGGACTTTGGATGAGTTAGTCAACCTTTTTGTTAGGTCTCAGTATTTTTATATGTAAGATTGAAATGTTATTCCATCTACTCTGTCTCTTATGGTTTGAGCAAACAATTGTCAAGCAGTAGCTAATGATAATGCTTGATTTGGCTTTCTCATTTCTTGCTTCATTTCCCTTGTTTCTCAGTCTTTTTGACATTGCCTGCTCTAAAATAGTAATAATATATAGGCTTTTGTTTCAGGCTTTACTTTCTGAGGAAGCCAGGCTTAGTTATAATTTTTAAAATGTAAACTTTCTAAATTACCAAATGAACACTCACTAAACAAAACAAGGAAATTGCAGATCATTTAGTGGAACACTTATTAAAGCAACAAAAAATGCTAACATTAAACACAATCACATGACAAAATCTGTATGTCCTATCAGCAAATTTAAATGGTCTAAAAATCTCCAAAATTGGATTTAAAAAAGAAATATGTGCTGTATTTAAAGTTATTCAGCAATATTGAAAATAAAAAGCAGAAAAAGACATACCAGGCTAATAAAATGAAGAAAGAAGTCACAATGTTAGCATTGGATAAAGTTCAACACATTATAAATAAGGCAAAGGAGAAGAACATGTTGTAATGGTCAAGAATGCAATCCTTAGGAAAGATCTAATCATTTTGATTATGCATCAGGTAACATAGTATTCAAAGTTATTGAGAGAAAACTTTGGCAATTACATGAGACAACACATCAGTATAAGGAGTCTTTAACTAATACTTCTCAACCTATTACAATGCAAGTAGACAAAAGATGAATATATGGAAAATATACATGCTATAATTACTAATACAGATAGTGATACCAAATTTTGTAGGCTGAAAACAAAAAATCCAACTTGTATTCTAGTGTCCATGGAATATTCATAAAATAACCATATTTGACCACAAGGAAGAATTTCCAAAGTAAAAATACAGGTAGCTTCTCTGATAACAATACACTAAACTGGAAAATAAACTTGGTGAGATGGGATGAAAGCCTTACATTTAATTTTTTTTTTCTCAAGAACTTATTAGATAAAAGAGGAAATCAAATCTGAAATTATATAATATTTTGAAAATAGAGACAATAAAAACACTACATATCAGATCCATAGATCTACATAAAGCTGTGAATAGAGAAAAATTAATTACCTTAAAAATTTATGCTAATAGAATGAGTGAATATAAACAAATTAAGATTTGACCCAAGGTGTTGTAACAATAATGAACCTAAAGATATAAAAAATGGAACTTAAAGATATTAAGAAATGAAAAGAGATACAAAAATAGTAAAATTGTTGGACATAAGAATAAATCCAATTCCAGTTTTTTTGAAAATGATAGCAAAATGTGAAGTCATTAGCTAACTGAATCAAGAAAAAAATTACAAATACATAAAAATGAGAATTGCAGAATAAATTTAATGAATTAGGAGATAAATCTCTCAATTCTATGAAATTTGGACACCCGGATGAAATGGATAATTTTCTAGGAAAATATAAACTTCCAAAATTGACCCTCCTCTCCAAAAATACCAAAAATATAAATAGACCAGTTACCACAGTAGAAATAAAATTGTCAAAGAGCTACAACCCCCCAAAACACAAAAACTATGTGGTCTGATAGATGAATTTTAGCAAAATGATAAGGAAAAAGAATTGGCGATGCTATTATAATTTCTTCATAACAAAAGAAGGAGAGCACTTTATTAATTTTATGAGTTGAGCATAATCTTGATATTTATCAGTAGCACCTAGTGCTTAAGCACGTAGATTCTAGCCATACTTTGAGCCAATCATGAAATCTTTGTGTGAAAAGCTAGTTTTTCTTAACATAGAACATAACTATAGTTGGAATATGGTTCCTACTCAAGTTTTTAATCAGCTTCTCTTTCAGCTATACTAATTCTCAACGATGGACGATAACTAGAAGTGATGTTTACCATTTCAAGGCCAAGACTTTAAGCAGATATATCCTCCTTGTGGAAGGCATAATAAGATCCTAATTCCCAGAACCTTTGAATTTGTTAAGTTAGATGGTAAGGGGGAATTTAAGGTGGCAGGTAGAATTAAATTGCTAATCAGCTGACCTTAAATGAAGGAGATTTTCGTGAATAAGCTGGATAACAGGCCCAATGCAATCACAAAGGTCCAAAATTAAAAGATGGAGGCAGAAGAGTCAGCATCAGAGTGATTTGTTACAAGAACAACTTGACTGGCCATTGCTGACTTTGAAGTTGAAAGAGAGCCATGAACCGAGGCGTGTAGATAGCCTCTAGAAAATGGAACAGGTAAGAAAACAAACAGTCCCCTAGAGCTTAGGAAAGGAATGCAGTCCTGCCCCACCTTGATTTTAGCCGACTAAGACCCATTTCAGACCTCTGCCTACAGAATTGTGAGAGAATACATTTGTGTTGCATGAAGTCACTAAGTTTGTGGTAATTTGTTACATCAGCAATAAGAAACTAACACTTTACTCTCATTTTTCTTTTGCCAGCATGGTACAGTTGACGGTGGAGCCCTAGGTGTTGGTTCAGCCACCAGATGGAAGGATCCTGGGCCTCTAAATCACCAAGTAAAGCAAAGTCATCTTTGAAACACACACTTTGGACTCTCATGTGAGAAATAATTGTGTTTGAATGATGGCATTTGTTACAACTTACCCCATCACAATGAGTTCAAATCTGTGCCTCAGCTTTCTTATTTTAAATAATGAGGAAAATAAGAGTAGTTACCTCAAACAGTCTTTGTGAAAATCAGTTATTAGATCTTAAGTGTTTAGAATGATTCCTGACACCTAGTAAATATGTTATTAAAATTTAATGTACACATAGACGTGCATACACATGAACACACCACACACTGAATTTATATGGTGTCTCTGATGAACATCAGTGCAAACATTCTAAATAAAGGATTGGCTTATTGGTAGATAGACTACAGCAGCACACTCAAAGAATGATATCTGTGGCCCAAGAGTGGTTTCTTTTAAAAGTACAAAAAATTCAGTATTATGAAATGTTAATGTCCACCATTAGCACTGACTGAAAACTAGCTTATTTCTGGCTCATGAGTTAGAAACAATTTGTATATGTTTTCTTTTTGAAGGGGAGGGGAGCATTTTTTATAATAGTTCAACAACAGTGAGACACTGGATGGTAAAAATCAGCTCACATGTTAAAATTCTGTTGTTGGTATTTATTTATTTTGTGGTAGTGGTGGTTTTTAATTTTTTGTTCTTTGTTCCCCAATTCCCCCAACAGAGTTTGGGTTAGGTGTCAAACTGTAACTGCCTAATTCTGATTATGGATGATTTTTCTAGTATCAGGGCTTTATGCTCATGTACTAACAGTGCAAGACTGGAAACATAGTATATAAATAAACATACTTCTTTTACACATCTTATTAGCTACAAATGGAAATATCATCTCCAGTAATATTTATTTGTAGCATTATATACAGATGTTTTTAGATTTACATGTGCCACCATAAAGAGGACCACTTGATTCCTCAGTACCAAAACTATTTATTTGAAAAATAATTCAGTGATGTAAATGTGAAGGTCATATTCATGAAAGAATTCACTTAGTCTAGAACTTCTACCTTCGATATGTTGAAGGATAAAATGCTCTTTGGGGACAGAGGTTGTATTCTTGTATAGTCCTTGCAGACGCTGGTTTTGCTGATCCACTCTCCTGAGTGTTAGGCCTGGGAGGAGACTTTGGTTTGCTGAAATATTCAGCAACAGGTATTTTGATATTATTTCTTCTTATAAACAATGGAGGCTTGTGCTCAGTCTCTGAAATAGAAAAAAAATCTAAATAAGACCATATTTGAGACACTGAACACAGCTTCTCCATGTTTTAGTAGTAAATGATCTACAAGAAACTATATGAAGTTTAGGTGAATTAGATACACCCAGAATTCATAAAAGAATATGTTTCAGCCAGGCATGGTGGCTCATGCCTGTAATCTTAGCACTTTGGGAGGCCAAGGTGGGTAAATCACAAGGTCAGGAGATCGGGACCATCCTGGCCAACATAGTGAAACTGTGTCTCTACTAATAATACAAAAATTAGCTGGGCATGGTAACGTGCACCTGTAGTCCCAGCTACTCAGGAGGCTGAGGCAGGAGAATCGCTTGAACCCAGGAGGCAGAGGTTGCAGTGAGCCAACATCATGCCACTGTGCTCCAGCCTGGCAATAGAGTGAGACTCCATCTCCAAAAAAAAAGAAAATAAATTTCTTTCTTTCTTTTTTCCTTTCTTTCTTTCCACATGCTCATCTTTAATGAGTTATTTGTTCTCTAACATGCAGGATACATTCTTCACTCAAAAGTAAACACGATTTTGATTGGAATGATATAGAGTTGGTTATGTTTAAGAGTGATGGGTGAGGATGGGACAGTGAGAGAAAGAAGGAAGACCTGTGGTCCTAATAGATACCACAAGAGAAGAGACAAGCAGGCTAAAACAAGTTAATTGTGCTCATAAGACCTACATAGTTGCACCCAAGCAGGAATAGGGATGTGGGGAGATGCTGAATATCAACATGGAAAGAAAGGGGCATGACTTGGGAATTCTTATACAAAAAAGTTCCAAGTATCTAAGTGATAAAATACGTGTGGGCCTCACAGGTAAGAAATAAAGTTGAATAATAGAAACCATCACTATTGTGATGTTACAGTCCCAGAATGAGGGGTTTGGTAGGAGAGGCCAGATACAATAGACTGTCCTTAAAGTCTGAGTAAGGGAGTCTTTGTAATTTTTAAACTGTACTTCTTATTGGCTATTAACAGATGGTGCCTCTTTGGGTTTGGTTAATCACAGTGGAACTTGCTGGGGTCTAGGGTGACCTTAATGAGCTCTGATTGATTATATATCATATATCATTCCTGATATAAAGGGAACTTGTAGAAATAACAAGACAGATTTTTGTGTAAAGCTTGTAGATATGCTTCATAGTTGTCGCTCTGTTGTCATGAATGCTCTGCTTGCTTTAAAGCTAGAAGCTGCCAAACCTACAAGGATTCTTTGTTTGGGCTATTTTTAACCTAGGTAGGACTTTCCACAATTCATGATTCTCCCTGGTACCCCTATAGACTGGAGCTGGGCTTCTGGTAGGACACAAAACTGCTGTTTTCTATTTATTTTCAGCTGTCTCGTAGTTACTTGCTTGTGGCTGATTGCCATTTTACCCTTCTCTCTGGTTGATTTTCTTTCCAGTGAAATTATTTAGCTCCATTAAGCTGTGAAGAACTAAAACTCTGAGATCATTGTCCTTTTGTTAGGTCAATACAGGGTTTCCCTTTTCACTGAATTGCTAAAACCAAATCTGTAGTTGCTGTTGTCCTGCTGTCTTGCTTCTCAAAGAGTGTCTGTCCCTGATCAGACACTTTGCCTTTCAAAACAAAGGTAGATTTATCTTTATGAGAAAGTCAGCGGATGCTTTCTCAAGAATTGATCTAGAAATTAGTATTGTATTTTTCTGTTTTTTAAAAGCACTGATCCTTAAAATCTATTCCCTAAGTCGTTAGTACTTACTGGTTTCTTAATACCAACTCAGTAGTTACCAAAAACTGTACTTAACCTTTTGGTACTTCCTTGTTTTCTTCAGATCCTTGACTTGACACTCTATATCAGTTGGAGAAAGAAAAAAGTGAATTTCACAGATACAAGTATTTTCTGTAGACTACACTGTCATCAGTAAGTTCAGTATATATGTATCTTAAATATGCTACCCCAATTCTTTGTTTTTTTTTTTTTTTAATGTATACAGTATTAAATTTACTTCCCAATGAAAAATTCTTCTTACTTTGAGTAAATATCTAACTATTGTTTTATATGTATAGTCATTAAGGTAGAGATTTCAGTTTCTGATTTTATGGACACTTTAAAATAGGGACAATTAGTAATACAATTTTTTTCTGTTTTAATGCTTTTTAAAGTGACATATTTGTATTTTCAAAACGTAATTTTTTTCTAACTTTAAGCTTTACTCAACTTTTTAAAGCAACAAAATTTTCTCTGCAAGCTTAAATAACATCTCCACACATTCTTTTACCATGACTCTACATAAATATTTTTCTTCTGTTATTGAAATTATATCATTTAATAAAAATTTCTCCTGCAGTAATTTCAATCATTTTAGTAATTATTTTTCTCTCTGGAAGCCCCAGGAGTAAATCAAAGAAATTTAAGTGAAGCAATTTATTTTAATTTTGCATTGCTCTACACAAAAAAGTGAAACCTGTGTGATATGCATTTAACAAAATATACAATAACTGTAACAATGCAATTTTGATTTCCTTAATTACATCTACTTTAGTTAAACTATAAAAACCTTTATTATCTTAGATTTCTAGGTAGCCATTCTTGCTTTTTTCTTACTGGAAAAATAATTTTCCTTAAAAAGAAAGCTTACCAGATAAGAAACACATAGTTTCTGCCAAAATGTTCTAAACAATAGAATTGAGAACAATTTTTATATTACATTTACGAAAATGAAAGCAAACAAATATATATTGCAGTCATTTACTGAATAAAGAGGTGCTTTAGAACCTCATGTTTAGCATTTTGAAACTTAACGAGAATTCAAAGTCTTCATGTGTCATAGATTCTCCCTCTAGGGGACCATTATATCTAATTACCTGGTTGGTTGATGCTCTTCTGTATCTCTGGTCAGCACTTTTGATTTTGCGGGTAAATCTGGAGGCGATTTTACTGTGGGTGGTGATTTAACTGTGGGTGGTTTCCCAGTCTCTGCTGCTGGTTCCATTGAGGTGTTTCTTCTGTGATGAGTCAACAGGTTTATCTCAGCAAGCTCAGAATGAATCAAAGCTGAGACCCACTCTTTTTCTGGTTTAAAAGACAAAAAAGGGTGGGAGGAGTGAATGTTGCAATTATCATGTTGGCTAGAAACACAGGATTATCCAGCTCCTGAGTGTGAAAGACTGGTCACCTATTTTCTGGGTAGTTACCGATGTGGGAGTAAAGATTGTTGCAGAAAAGTTGGTTCACTTCAACCTAGTTTCTGCTGACCTTTGATACTGTAGAGTGCCCAGATTAGTTAACTCACTGAGGTACTTGCCCCTGAATAGCAGTGGAATCATTTTAAAATATTGAGCACAGTAGCCAGTCTTACAAGCTGCTGCCAAAGATATAAGGATATCTATACAAAAATAAGAAGTACAGTATGATTCCATTAAAATACAGACTAATAAGTAATAAATAGTTACAAGCATATATAGATAGATACACACCAAAGTGTTCACTGAAATGATGTCTGTGGTAATTTTATTGATGATTTCTTTTCTGTCTCATCTCTTTTTTTCTTTCTTGTTCATCTGTTCTTTCTCCCAACAATAAGGATTTATTACTTGTATAGTTTATTAAATGTTACATTCTTAAAAAGGAAAAATAATTAGAAGATTGCTAAAGACCCATTGCCCCTAAGCACTTCTCAATTGTCTAAAAAGTAGTATTGAATTCCTGGGGCAAGGTAATATTTCCAAAATGTCTCCTATTTTAAATTAGGCTGTTCCTCACACATTGGTGCTTCCTAGCATTGATCAGTGCAGTGATTCTCAGAGTGGTCCTGAGACCAGCATTATCAGCATCACCTGGGAACTTATCAGAAATGCAAATTCCCAAATCCCACCACAGAGATTTTGCCTTAGTCAGTCTGATAAGCAGCTACATTTGAGGATATCTGTTCTCTGCCATTTATCATTGTCTAGATTGGGAATGGTATGTGTTTTCATGGAACAGGCCAGGAAGGGCCCAAAACAGGCTAAGAGATGACTGAGTTGATGGTTTTGCAGGGCAATTGGTAGAGTTGTTACAAGTAACAGAGTTGTTACTTGGATGGCTGTTCTGTTGTTCTTACCAAAGAAAAGAAATAAGCTTTGTGTTCAGAGTTAACAACAGCCCAGAGGATGTACTCAGCAAGGCCCCTGGGTGTGTGGACTCTGGAGGAACACTAACTCTAGCTGAGAATAAGACCTCCCTTGGACACAAGTGTTTCATGTCACCCAAATGAGTTCAATTTAAGGCATACTGAATTTTGAGTTCTTTGAATGACCCACATACATGCAGCTGGATATGCAGGACAGCAATTATTCTGATACTGAAACACTGAGGAAATAATTAATATTGCAACATTTTCTTTGCAAATCCAAGGTACAAAACTTCAGATATTGATTGACATATTCCCAATTTCTGACAATAAATTGAGCTGTGTTTTAAAATGTGTATCTTAATCGCACCTTTTGAACTTGCATGAAGTAGCCACTGTAAAACTTCTGCCAGTGAATCAGTTTGTAAAATGTCACAGAGCTTTGCCAGGATCTAATGGAGAACATTAGAGTTACATATGGGCAAATAAACAATACAAGGCTTATAAGGTTTTCTTTACTCTCTCCAGAATCCCATCATCCCAAATATCACTCTGTATATGATATGCAATTAAGTCAATTGGGATTTTCAACTCAGGAGCTCAATTTCAAATAGTACACAGTAGAATCGTAGTGAAAACAACATTTCCAGTACAATTAACACTTTAGGGCAGGCTATGGAGTGTGTTTGTCTTGTTTTGTCTGTTCAGAAGCAGCATCTTCTAGCAGGAATATACTTCTGGTGAATTTATCTTTCCCACTGTACCAGAGGGTTCTAATGGGAATCTATCAGTCACAGGACTGGCTCATCTTCCCTGCTCCTCTCCATAGACTGAGAGAGAGGGATGTTTTACCTCAATTCTTGAACACAGTGATTGGCCCAATGGAATAGGAATGTAATTCCTGTTAGTTAATTAGAATCCTTCCTTGAGATTTTTTTTTAAATTCTGGAGCTATAGGCTTAAGTGTAGGTGACAGTGGAGATAGAAATATGAAATAATTAATTCTAATAAAAGTGGGCTATAATAAGCATTAAAAGTACAGTTTCCAGATTGAGTCTTACTTGTGTCTGCTGTTAGAATTTAAACACATCTGATATTCATATCTGTATCCTGAACTTCAGTCCTATATATCCATCTGCCTATCAGATGTATTCACTTAGCTGTAGTAGAGGTATTTTGGACATGAAATATATAAAACAAAACCCACGTTTCTCTTCCTAAAACCTGCACCAAACTTACTTTTCCTCCTCGTTCCCCTGTCTCAATGAACAGCACCAACATACATTAAATTGTCCAAGCCAGATGCTGAGATTCATCCTGGACAACTCCCTTGCCCTTTTCAAAAACATAATGTCAAACAATAAGTTCAGTAAATTCTGCCTTCTAAATATTTCTCAAGTCACTCCATTTTTCTTCATCCCTATTGTCTTGACCCAGGCTAAAGCAACATCAAATCTGGTTTGAGCTACTACAACATTGATTCTCTTAGTATTTCTGCCTAAAGTCTTAAATTATTAATTCAACAAATATTTGTTAGTCATTGATCTAGATGCTGGAGATAGAGAAGCAAAATTAAAGGGCTGAAAGTCAACTGCCCTGTATTGAACTTTGTTATTATGTTAAGATATCTGTCTTTGATAATGCCATATCCGAAAGAGAGCAAGTTAGATTTGCTTCTAATTTCACAACAAATCAAAAACTGTGGCAAAAATAGAAAAAGAGCTTCACAGTATTTTCTAAGCCGTTCTGCCTCTATGGATTTTTTCATCAATATAGTGATTGCACATCACTCCTAGCTTCTAATTAATAGATCACTAATTGATCAACAACATCCTGGCGAATATAATTATCCTTTTAGTGAGAGGATGTAGAATATGTCTTCCTGGGAAACCACCTGCACTCTCTGTTACAGAAACCTAAGCGGATGCACAATGAACACAGCAGCTTCCAATCCCTTGAGATAAACATTTGTTTCTGCAGCTTGGGGCAGGGATAACTATGCCTGTAAACCAGGGTTCTGAGTGTCAAAGATATTATAGCTTTTCCAAAGGGTCACAAATTGAGTCTTGATCAGATCTGGAGAAATGGAAAATTATTCAATGAGTAGATTCTCTCTGTGATTCCACCTGTGGAAGTCTATTGAACTCAGTCTTTGGAAACCCTCAAAAAATTATTATTCAGTGATCTCATGATTTCTAGGGGCAGAGAAACCTTAATTCCTCAAGGTAACCTCATGTTTCTTTTGCCATAGAAGTAACTGAAAAACTGTATGTCAGTTTCTCTGTATCATCTTGGTTGGCAAAAACTCAAAGCAGACTACCACAAAGTCTCTGGAATTGAAAACTCCTAACTCTAGAGGGTAGGTTCTCAGCATCAGAGATACCATTGTCCAGCAAAGATTCTGGGGATTATCGCCTTGGTACTTACCATAAAAGTTGTCCTGGCATCCTGTCTTCACAGGACTTTGCAATTCTTATTCTAACAATCATATTTTCCCAAGTGGTTCCTGACCTTGAGTGCCTGTCCTGAACATATTTCATGAAGTGGCATAATGTATATGATTCATATCTTCCCTTCTTTATTGGCATTTTTCTATGCTCACAAGTCTGTGTTCTCTAAAGTGGCATAATGTATGTGATTCATATCTTCCCTTCTTTATTGGCATTATTCTATACTCACAAGTCTGTGTGCTCTAAGGATGAGTGAAAATTTTAACAGATATGAAAATTCCTTAATCAAACTTGAAACTTTTTCAATTACTCCCCCTAGGGGGAAGGTACCTGGTCATTGGACCTATTCGATTAGAAATCAAAGTCAAGGATCCAGCCTCAGTTTTTCTTTCAGGGCACAAAAGCCTTGAAATGGAGTGTGCAAAGAACATGGTTCAGTACCTCTTTAATAATACATTTCCACTCCCAAGTCATAAGGTCAGGTCTGGCAGGATTTAGTGACTCCGAATCTCTGTAAAGAGTGGTCACAGGGGAAATAAATTGGTGGTATTAAAGCACATTACCAGAAGAAACTACCCAAACCTGGGATTAGAGATTTGAGTGGCAATGAACTGGATTGCTAAGAAACTGTCTCCTCTAGTCAAAGAAAACTGGTTTTGCCAGGTTCTGGAATAGGAGACTTGTATCCCTATGTTTGTCCAAACATTTTTTTTTAAATTGAAAACCTACGAGTGAATTATCTGACAGTGTTTATTCATATTTACTCCTAAAAAGAGATGTTAAATTATTTGTTGGCTGATTATTTAACATAGGAAATGAAGGTGTTGCCATTTACTCTGCACATCGATATCAAAATAAATAATTCTAAATATTCGCTAATTATCAACCCCAAATATTTAAAGAAGCTGAAATAATGGCCCTTGTTAAAAATTATTATCTAACTTGTCAATCCTTGTCTTTTTATTAGAGTTTTTAGTCTATTTATCCTTTGGCATAGTTTTGAGTGTACCGTCTTGCTATTTTTTTTTTTTTTTTTTTTTTTTTTTTTTTAGTTTTTTCTTCTGTTATCATTCCCCTTATTCTTTTCTCTGCCTCCTTTTGGATTAATCAAGCACATATTAGTATTCCACTTTATCCTCTCCATTGGCTTTTTAACTATACTTTTTGTTGTTTGAGAGATTAAAATATGCATCGTTAATCTAATATAGTGTTCCTTGAATTAATATTATACCACTTCATGTATAATGTAAGAACCTTATAAGTTATATTTCATTTATTTCTCACCTGAACTTTGTGTTACTGTTGTTTTTACATTTCACCCCTCTGTTTTCTTTGTAACCTCACTTATCTCCCTCACATCTTCCTTTACTTCTGAATGACAGAACTATAAAATGTCACCTTTTTAAATCTTTTAAGCACTTTAAAGTATCATTTCATTGTCTTATGGATTGCATATTTCCAGTGAGAAATCAGTTGTCATTTTTATCATTACAGTCATGCACCATATAACAATGTTTCAGTCAATAAGGGACCACATATACAATGGTGGTCAAGTAAGATTATCATACTGTATTATTACTGTATCTTTTCCTGTTTAGATATACAAATAGTTACCATTATGCTACAATATCTACAGTATTCGGTATAGTAAAATGCTATATAGGTTTATAGCCTAGGAGCAATAGGCTATATAGCCTAAATGTATAGTAGATGTAACATCTAGGTTTGTGTACGTACACTCTGTGATGTTCATACAACAATGAAACTGTCTGACACATTTCTCAGAATGTATCCCTGTCATTAAGTGATGCATGACTGTATATATAATATGTTTTTTTTTCTCATGCTGATTTCAAGATATTCTCTTTGATTTTCCACGACTTTATTATGATGTGCCCAGATATAACTTCTGTGTCTATCTTTCTTGGGTATTTTAAGGTTTTGTCAGATTTGGGAAAATGTTAGCTATTACTTCTTCAAATAACTTTTATGTTCTAATCTCTCTTTCCTCTTCTTCTGAGACTCCAATCATACATATGTTAGACCACCCTATATATTTTTACAGGTCAGTAAGGTTTTGTTTACATTTTTAAAAGTCTTTTTACTTTAATTGGGGCATTTTTTAATTGCTCTCGCTTTAACTCCCACTTACATATTTTTTTCTGTAGTGCCAAGTGTGCTGCTAATCACATCCAGTGAAATTTTGATTTCAGATATTGTAGTCATTCATTAATGACAAAAACACATTTTGAGAAATGCTTCATGAATGATCCCATCATTATGAAAACATCATATAATGTGCTTTCACAAACCTAGATGATACAGCTTACTACACACCTAGGCTATATGGTATAGCCTATTGTTCCTGGGCTACAAACCTGTATAGCATGTTACTGTAGGCAACTGTAACACATTGTTAAGTATTTGTGTATATAATCATATCTAAACATAGAAAAGGTACTATATTGTGCACTTATGTTACCACTGTCATATTTGTGATCTGTAATTGGTGGAAACATTGTTATTCACTGCAAAGCTGTATTTCTTAATTCTAAAATTTCCTTTTGGTCTAATTTTAATTTCCATTTCTCTCGAGAGATGCCTCATATATTCACTCATTATGATTTTTTTTTCTTAGAAATCCTTGAAATCTAAAAAAAAAAAAGAAACCTCGTTTACAGCCCTTTCTACAACAATCTAGAGGCAGAAATACCATTTGACCCAGCAGTCCCATTACTGGGCATATACCAAAGGATATAAAATAGTTCCTCATTAAGCTTATTCAATAACCATCTCTACAACGTGCTCTGTTATTTGTAATTATAACTACAGATACTGATTAGTTAAAATTCCAATTAGAGTCATCATTAAAATGTTTTGACCCTTAGTTTGTCATAGTGGGACTTATGGTGGATCAATATGGAGGTTACCAAGAAGAGATTAAAAGAAGGAAAAAATTGCAGATGACAAATATGAGCTGACTGATGTATTCATGATTTTATATTATTTTCAGAAATAACTGGCTGGGGAGAGCCTTTCAGGAAGCTGATATACAGCTAGTGCTCGAGTTACGACCACGATTGGTTCCGACAGACTGGTCGTAACACGATTTGGTCGTGAGTTGAGTAGGCTATATGCACGCGGAGATGGTAGTGCTGCCGGAAGCTGGTCCACACTGTCGTACGCCCAGCTGGGCAACGTTTGCGCTGCCAGACGCAGAGCAGTCATGGCTAGCGATTGTGGTCGTAAAGTCAAATGGTCGTAAGTTGCATAGGTCGTAAGTCGATCAATACCTGTATTACTATTAATATAATTAAGTTTATAACCCCAGGCAGAGAAAGTTTGAAGACATAGTTTTCTAAAGAAAAGAGGAAGAGATGAATGTTGATTGGAGGAATCTGTGCTTTAAAATATGAGAAGTAAATTTATAGATAGTGGCAAGATATTGCGAGTAGTGCCTCTCAAGTATTAGAAAGATGATAACGAAAGATGGAAAGAATAGAGCTGGATTTGTTTGATAAACACCAAGCTTTTCATTATGTCAAAACCAAAGATTGTGTTTATCTAAGAGTAGCAAGATTCAAGAGAAAAGTAAGACTGGAAATGAAAATAGGATTATGCCTTGGACTTCAGGCTAAGCAGGCTTAAATCAATTCAGTTATTAGTAAGAGTTTTAGGGATGCTAGTGGCATACATTTTTTTTTGTATATTCATGCTGTTTCCAAGTTATGGATTTGATAAACGTGACACTTACTTTTATTTCCTGATCCAGATAGTTTGGTATGCAAATGGTGTTTGCTTTCACATCATTCTTGGTACTCGTCATCCCTGAAGAACAGGAGCCAGGAGTAGAGCATGCTTTTGGAGGTGATGGTGGCTGTTTGGCCTTAATTTCTTCCTAAATCAAAGGTATAATATAATCAATATACATTTGCACCCACTCATATTTTCTATGAAAATGCAATGTAAAATGAATGAAAAATATTGTGGTTAATAAGAGAGATCCATGAAAGTAAAGAAAGATTAGTTTTATCTTAAACTACTAAATATTTATATTTGGAGACAAAACAAATAGTGATACCTTATTAACTTTTGATGAAACCATTTTTAAACTCTTGGTTAAATAACAAGATAACAAAATTTTAATATGTAATGTATAACTCTTTATATCGCAGTTCCAGATAACAGCCAACTCATGACACATGAGATTTGCTGTTAAGGTGGGAAGATTTCTCTTTTATGGCCAGGAAAAGACAGCTGAGAGGTTTTATGCTTTGTCTGTGTAGCAACTACGTGATGCAAATTGCTGCTTCTTTGCTCTAAGTAACAACTGACAGCTGGAGAGTTAGAAAGGCAAACTAGGTGACTCACACCTATAATCCCAGCACTTTGGGAGTCTGAGGCAGGCAGATCATGATGTCAGGACTTTGAGACCAGCCTGGCCAATATGGTGAAACCCTGTCTCTACTAAAAATACACAAACTAGCCGGGCATAGTGGCACGTGCCTGTAGTTCCAGCTACTTGGGAAACTGAGGCAGAAGAATTGCTTAAACCTTGGGGGGCGGAGGTTGCAATGAGCCAAAATCATGCCACTGCACTCCAGCCTGTGCAACATTGTGAGACTTCGTCTCAAAAAAAAAAGGCAAATTAAACTTTTTCCCCTGATCATTTGGAAGGGAAATAGAAAGGTTATTTTCTTGTTCTGGGAGATAAATATACTGTTTGTAATTTTTAAAAATTAAAAAGTTGTGGGAGCTTTAAGTCCATGAAGAGTTACGGAAGCCTTAGATCTGTGTACCTGTTCCAAGAAAGGGTTTTTACTCTTTAGAATTGACTGATTTATGACAACACATAGAAGCTAGTGCTTAAATGAGCCAACAACCTGGGATTTTGATGATTGGAATTGATAGAACAATATTTAACTTTATGTTTAGTACAAATAGGCTATATTGTATTTGAGGCATTCTTTTTTTAAGTTTATCATGCAGACTTATTTTTGGAAGAATAGCAACGCAGTAAGTTCTTAATGTTGTTGATAACTCTTAGAAACTGACTTTAAGTGAGATAATGTATAACAAATCCAATATTTTTTCACATCAACTGATATGATTTGGCTCTGTGTCCCCTCCCAAATCTCACCTTGAATTGTGATAATCACCATGTGTCAAGGGCGGGACTGGTGGAGTAATTGAATCATGGGGTCAGGCTTCCCCATACTGTTCTCATGACAGTGAGTTCTCGTGAGATCTGATGGTTTTATAAGTGGCTTCCCCCTTTACTTGGCTCTCACTTCTCTTGTCTGCTACCATGTAAAACATGCCAGTTTTGCCTTCTGCCATGATTGTAAGTTTCTTGATGCCTCCCTAGCCATGCAGTGATGTGAGGCAATTAAACTCTTTTCTTTATAAATTACCCAGTCTTGGATATGTCACACAAATAATGTCCAGCAATTGAGTCATGAGTCAAAGAAGAATAGTAATGGGAATTAGAAAATATACTGAAATCAGTGAAAATGGTATATGCAAAAATTGTGATAACAGCTAAAGCAATCTTCAGAGGGGAATTTATAGCTTTAAAATATATATATTAGAAAGATAAAAAGAGTTAGAAAAAGAGCAATAAGATAAAGTATATAATAGAGAAAACTAATAACAGCAGAAATTAATAAAATAGTAAGGAAGTATATAACAGAATCAAAAAATCATGAAAATCAATTCTTTGATATACTAATAAAATTAATAAACTTATTGAATAAACTTTTGTTGAAAATGATAAACTTCTTTAATCAAGAAAAAGGCACAAATTAACAAAACTAATATGTAAAAGGGTACTTGTTATAGAACCAGCAGATATTTTTAAAAGAATATAAGGATATTATACATAACTCTCAATAAATCTGAACATTTAGATTGAATAAACAATTTTTAGAAAAGAATATATTACCAAAAATTGATTCAAAGAGAAATAGAAAATCAACAGTTCTATAACAAAACAGATTTTAAAGCAAAGAATAATTTCAGGTATGAAGAGAGTAACTTCATAACGATAAAAAGGTCATTATATCAAGAGGACATAACAAACGTAAACAATTTTATGCCTAATAAGAGAGCTTCAAACTACATGATTAAAAACTGGTAGAAATTGAAAGAGAAATAAAAAAAATCCACAATTATAATCAGAGATTTCAACACCCCTCCCTCAATAATTTTCAGAAAAAGTGGCAAATTAGTAAGGCTATAGAATGGGGGTCCTCAGACCTTTGGGCCACAACACACTGAGCTCTGCCTCCTGTCAGATCAGCAGCATCATTTGATTCTCATAGGAGTGCAAACCCTATTGTGAACTGTACATATAAGGAATGTAGGTTGTGTGCTCCTCATGAGAATGGAACATCTGGTGATCTGAAGTGAAACAGTTTCATCCTGAAACCATTCCCCCACACCACCATAGGTATGTGAAAAAATAGTCTTCCAAATAAGGTTGTGAGCTGCTGCTATAGGTTGTGACTTGAGTAACACTATCAAACAACCTCACCTAATTGATATTTATACTATGTTCTACCAAACAACAACAGAGTAAACATTCATTTTGTGGATACATGAAAAATTTATTAAAGTCAACAATATCCTGGGCCATATAACAAGCCTCAATAAATTTAAAATGTTTCAAAGTATACAAAGTGTGTTCTTCAACTACAGTGGGATTAAATTGGAATCAATAACATAAAGATATCTGAAAAATCCCCCAAATATTTAGAAAGTAAATAACATGATTTTAAGTAACCCATGGGTGAAAGAAGAACTTAAAAAGGATATTAGGAAGTATTTCAAACATAATGAAAATGAAAATTCAACATAGTAAAATTTGGGGGATGCAGCCAAAGTAATGCTTATAGGAAAAATATAGTAATACATGCTTATATTAGGGAAAAAAGTCTCAAATCAATGACCTAAGGTTTTACCTTCTATGAAGATAGGAGCCAAAGCCAATGAACTGGAAACGCAAAGCCAAACAATAGAGATACTCAATGAAATGAAACACTGATTCTTTAAAATGATCAATAAAACTCACAAACCTCTAGCTAGACACATCAGAAAAAAAAGAAGACATAAATTGCCAAAATCACATACAAAATTATAAAATAATAAAAGGAATATTTTATGAAAAACTTTGTATCAGTAAATCAACAACTTAGATGAATGGACAAATTCTTGGTGAAATACAAACTACCAAAGCTGGCTAAAGAAGAGATAGATGAAGATGGCTGAATAGAAACAGCTCTGGAGTGCAGTTCCCAGTGAGAACACAGAGGGTGAGTGATCACCGCATTTCCAAATGAGTTTTTACTGCCCACAGACCAGGAGATTCCCGGGCAGAAAAGCACCACAAGTCTCCAGCATGGCTGTTTCAGCTGGCATGGTGGGTCTCTGCCAAAAATTCACACAAATCTGGGCAGCCATTTTAACTGGCACCTAGAACACCTGGGAGATGGAGTCTCCTATTCAACTGAAAATAAAAGGCACTGAAATAGGGAGCCAGGTGATCTGGCTCAGCAGGTCCCACCCCGACAAAGACCAGCAATCTGAAATGCTTTGGATTGAGAATTTCACAGCAAGCAAAGCTGGACCCAAGACAGTCCAGCTCTATTGTGGGGGAAGGGCATCTGCCATTACTGAGGGAGTCCACTACTACCAAGGCAGTCCACCACTACCAAGGCAGTCCACCACTACCGGGGCAATCTGCCATTACTGAGGCAGTCCACCATTACCAAGGCAGACCGCCATTACCAGGGCAGTTCTAAGTACACCTTTATAAACAAAACCGCAAGGAAGTTCACACAGCAGCTGGGCAGAGCCCACGGCAGCTCAGCAATGCCTCTGCTGGTAGACTGTGACTAGGCTACCTCCTCACTGGGCAAGGCATCTCTGAAAAAAGGCAGAAGCACATCAGGAACTTATAAATAAAGCCCCACCTTCCCAGGACAGAGCAGCTGAGAAAAAAAAGGTGGTTATGAGTTCTGCGGCAGCAGACTTAAAAGTACCTGCCCAGCAGCTCTGAACAGAACAACAGAGCTCACAGCTCAGCACTTGAGCTCCTATAAGGGACGGACTGTCTCCTGAAGCAGCTCCCCAACACCCGTATATCCAAAGAGACACCTCATTCAGGAGGGCTCAGGCTGACATCTGGCGGGTATCCTTCTGTGACAAAGATAACAGAATAAGAAACGGGCAGCAACCCTTACTGTTCTGCAGGTGATCCCCAGGCAAGCAGGTCTGGAGTGGACCTCCAGCAGTCCTGCAGCAGAGGGGCCTGACTGTTAGAAGGAAAACTAAAAAAGAAAGACATAGCTTCATCATCAACAAAAAGGACATCCATGCAGAGACCCCATCCAAAAGTCACCAACCACAAAGACCACAGGTAGACAAAGCCAAGAATATGGGAAGAAACCAGTGCAAAAAGGATGAAAACACCCAAACCCAGAATGCCTCTCCTCCTCCAAGGTATCACAGCCCCTCACCAGCAAGGGAACAAGGCTGGATGGAGACTGAGTCTGATGAATTGACAGAAACAGGCTTCAGAAAGTGGGTAATAACAAACTTCTCTGAGTTAAAAGAACATATTCTAACACAATGAAAAGAAACTAAGAACCTTGAAAAAAGGTTTGACAAATGTTAACTAGAATAAACAGCTTAGAGAAGAATGTAAATGACTTAATGGAGTTGAAAAACAACACGAGAACTTCGTGAACCATACACAAGTTACAATAGCTGAATCAACCAAGCAAACAAAAGGATATCAGAGATTGAAGATAAATTCAGTGAAATAATGAGAAGGCAAGATTAGAGAAAAAAGAGTGAAAAGAAATGAACAAAGCCTCCAAGAAATATGTGATTATG